CAACATCCTGAGATAGGCAGATGTTAAAGGTGTCGTCTGTTCCAAGTAAAGCTGCCTTTTGCTGTTGACAGAGGGTGATTTTGTCAAGGTTGATGGTGTCAAATGGTATCCGGTTGTTTTGAAATTGCACCCAAGATGCCTTATTGCTATTGGTACAATCTTTGCTTTCTTTTGTCACAGTCACTCTACATCTATTTGCAGGTCTTTGTAGTTTGTGATTTTTCTCTAGTTCTTTCTCTTCTCTTCTACTATCTCCAGATACTGCCATGTCCACTATCCATTTTTTTTTGTCTGTGTTATTAATTGGAATTCTCTAAATGTCAGATTTCATCCAAGAGCTAGTTTGGTCTAGTGCAGGGGTAGGCAATCTTGGCTCTTTTATGACTCGTGGACTTCAACTCCCAGAATTCCTGAGCCAGCCAGCTCAGTTCACGAGTCATAAAAGTCCACGAGTCATAAAAGAGCCAAAGTTGCCTACCCCTGGTCTAGTGGTTAAGGCATCCGGCTAGAAAGCAGGAGGCCATGAGTTCAAGTGCACCTTAGCCATGAAAGCCAACTGGGTGACTTTGGGCCAGTCACACTCTCTCAGCCCAACTCACTTCACAGGGTTGTTGTTGTGGGGAAAATAGGAAGGTGTGTTGGATACTTTCACCGCCTTGAGTCATTTGTCAGAATAATAAAGGAGGGATAAAACAAATGAATACAAGCACTGACCTCAAGCATCAGAAGTAGAGAATGTGTGATTCTCCATATCCTATTAAACTACCAACATCCCAACTTTAACTAGCTAGAGCTAATGAAAATTGAAATTAGGGAGTTTTCTCACCTCTCATACAGAAGAGAATTACTCATAACAATAACCACACCGCAAAGTATTTTAGCGACAGAAGACAGTACAGGGTTGATAGAAGATTGAATTCGAGTCTTCACTGAACCAAAGCTCTCTTGGTTTAGCTTATACCAGGAGTCTTCAAACTTGGCCCTTTTATGACTTGTGGACTTCAACTCCCAGAATTCCTCAGCCAGACACACTAGCTTATACCATAGTTGATTTTGGTTGGTTTGGTGCCTTTGAATCAGTATTGACTCTTAGCAAATATGGAGCAGTTCATATATTTTCTTGACAACATCTTTGGAAGTGGCTTGCCATTGCATCTTTCCTAAGGCTGAGAGAAAGTGACTGGTTCACCAAGCTGGCTTAGTATCTAAGATGGGGCCAAAATTTACAGTCTCCCAGTTTCTAGCATTAACCACTATACCAGGGGTAGGCAATCTTGGCTCTTTTATAAGACTTGTGGACTTCAACTCCCAGAATTCCAGATCCAGCCATGCTGGCTCAGGAATTCTGGGAGTTAACATCCACGAGTCATAAAAGAGCCAAGGTTGCCTACCCCTGCACTATACCAAATTGGCTCTGTGTGTCATAATGGCTGGTGTAAATCAAATTGAACGGTGTGGAAATTGTCGACATTCCCTCTTGTTCTTTGGAGGAATAGATATATTAACTAATCATATAAAGAAGTCGAGAATGGGAGTTCTGTTTTAAATGCCACAGGTGTGAGAAATTTTAAATTTTTAAGGATATTTTTTACTATGTGTAGGTTTCCTCTCGTTACCGTGTACATTTGTTTTGCCCGATGTAAAGGCAACAGAGGTAGAGTTTCATATAATAATTTCAAATAATAATTTTGTTATTTTGCAGGGAGAGTTGTTCTTTTTTTTTCTGGAACAAGCAGCAATAAGAGAAAGCTAGCTTAAGAGGGCTGAGCGCTCACTGTATACCTTCTCCTCAAAAATAGGTCATCGTGCAGATATTTGATGGGGGAGCGGAGCTCTCCTATAAGTTACATCAAGCCTCTATCCGTTGTTTTTTTTTCAAGGAAACATTTTGAGACCTCAGAATGGGCCAATCAATGTTTAACTGGCAGGTATAGCGAATTGGTGAAGGATTATCAAAGAGGTCTAAACAGTGGCCTGCTCCTAGATTAGGCTCTGCTCAAATGACATGTATAATTAGAATAAAGTCTTTAAGAGTCCTGTGGAATTAGGTGGCACGTCCAGCTTCATTTCTCTTCAAAGAATGCTGCTCAGTTTTATAGATATTTCTTTAGAAACCCTTTGAAGTGACTGAGATCGTGGAAAAATACTGATGAGGGGCTGGCCATTGTGTGCAAGTCATCGTTGATTGCGCAAAGGACTTTTCACAGCCGTAACGTCATTTCTTCATGGATTTTGGATGAGTGCAGCGTGAGGCCAGAATAACACAGCAAAAGGCTCAGAAGCAGCCCTGCCCTAGCTTGCTGCTCTCTTATTTTCTGGAAGCGATTCATATTCAGGGTGTGAATCTGGGATCGATTTATGCAAAAACTGCAGTGTTTTTATGGCAAAGAATCCTTTGGTCATGGCTCCAGCATTTCCATTTGTGAAATGGGGACTGGATTTTAATTGTTCTATACAGCATATTTCTTCCTCTGATCCTCTTACTGAAACATTTTTCCCCCACGCCCCAGAGTGACTTTTAGCAAATGGCGTGATATTGCCTCTTGCTGGGCCCTTGATTTTAAATAGCAACAGAGCAGCGCAAAGCAAAAGAAATTGGCAGCTGCAAATAATAATTAAATGGCCACGTGATAAGACTTTTATTTATTTATTTATTTATGGTAACTGACCAACTTACATAAGGTAACAACTAAAGTAGTAAACAAGCCAAGTACGGAAGCACCAGTTTGAGCTCTAATGCCGCATCTGATTTGGCTGCTGCTGCTCAGAGAGCTACTCTTTAACTGATGTGGCTTCCCCCCTTTTGTGATGAGTCACTGTGGTCCAGATGTGCAAAGGTGGTTCTGACGGCCAATGAAAATGCAGTGCCTGCTTTCACGGCTCTATGCATTGAGATGATAGCTTGTGACCCATCAGACATGTACTGTGGCGTCACTCATTTTTTATAGTATGTCTTTTCCCAGATGATTCCTTCTGTTCTGATAAAGGGATTTGCTTCCTCAACTAACTTGAATTCCCACTTCAGGAAAGTCGATGCCTTTTGATTTGCTTTCACCCAAGCATCCTCTCTTCTGTTGGTCCAGCTGTCCTCCTTAGCCATATTGTAAATGGACAAAACAGCAGTATTTATGCTGCATGTATATTTGTTTTATGGCAGGGCAGTGGAAGTCCACCGGTCTTAAAATTGCCAAAGTTGGACACCCCTATTTTAGGAAGTATAATCAAAAATAAACTCGTTTAACCAGGAACCTCTGTGGCTTCTTTGTCCTTGGTACTTATGCCAAAGAGGCTTTTCTATCTAAAGTGCTATGGAAGCTGTATTCTGCTGACTGAAAATGCTTTCTCCACGTGTTGGGCAGAATGTTGAGTTCATTCATATTGACTTCTACCTGGTGAGTTAAAGAGGGAGAAAACAAGGCTACTAATCCACAACTACCTGTTTTGAGGGAATCCATGTGGGCAAAGATACCCGAAGTGTGCTTGTTGATGATGTACATTCTGTGTCATTTGATAAAGCAAAAAATTCTTCCACAAGCTGCTAGCACTGCAGCGTGTAACAACTTTATGTGCCATTGGCCTAGTCAGGCCTTGCTGGTCTACCTTAACCATTATGGGATGTAACATTTTATACACTAATGGAAAATTGTTTCACTGCTTTTTACAGATTTTCTAGATTTTAAATTTTTTCACAAGTCATTTCTATCTTCTGATTCAGAACAAAAGCTAAGTGTCAATTTAAAAGAAAAACTTTTTCATGATGTGTAATGATAGCCATAAGATAGGAATTATCTATTTTAAATATTCTAAGAAGCATTTAACACAGAAAGATTAAGACATTTTAGTATTATTTCAAAGTGAAGGATGGTAAATTAAAATAATTCTTTTAGTATTTCATGAATAAACCTTAAATTTCAAACACAACTAGCAAATAGAACTTTGGCCCCAAATCCAGCTACAATTTGTGGTCGAATGCTATGTGATTCTATTCAGAAGCCTTGCCTGAATTATATGGGTATTGCCCCAAAGCAAATATGTTCATTTTACACCTAAGCAGGAAAAACCAAAGGTACAAGTACAGATTAGGTAACTGTGAGAGGGACCTTGGAATCCTAGTGGACGATCACCTAAATGTGAGCCAGTTATGTACGGCAGCAGCCAAAAAAGCTAATACAATCCTTGGTGGTATAAACAGAGGCATAGAATTAAAAGCACATGAAGTATTAGTACCGCTTTATAAAGCCTTAGTAAGACCACACCTGGAATACTGCCTCCAGTTCTGGTCACATTACAAAAAAGATGTTGCGACTTTGGAAAAAGTGCAAAGCGGAGCAACTAAGTTGATTAAGAGCCTGGAGACAAAAACATATGAAGAATGGTTGCAGGAACTGAGTATGGCCAGTCTAAAGAAAAGAAGGACTAGGGGTGACATGATAGCAGTATTTGAAGGGCTGCCACAAAGAAGAGGGGGGTCAACTTATTTTTCAAAGCACCAGAAGGTAAGACAAGAAACAATGGACGGAAACAAGAAGCAATTTGGAATTAAGAAAAAAACATCTTAACAGTGAGGATAATTAACCAGTGGAACAGCTTGCCTTCAGAAACTGTAGGTGCTTCGTCACTGGAGGTTTTTAAGAAAAAACTGGACAACCACCCATCTGAAATGGTATAGGGCCTCCTGCTTGAGCAGACGGTTGGACTAGAAGACCTCCAAGGTCCCTTCCAGCTCTATCCTGATTGAAGATGTAAAGAATTTCAACATCTGAATAGCAGCTCATGATGAGCTTCTCAACTATATTGCAATTAGGCTTATACAAAAAACACATTTCTTTTTAGATATTGCAGAGAGAGATGAAAACTATATACTGGATTACTTATTATTGAATTATCCATAGGTTTTTCTTGTTGATCAACAGCAATAATAATAGTTCCTTGAATATCCATTCCAATTTTATAAAGTAAAGACAACCGTGGCCTCTTAACACAATGCTAAAATGAACAGAGCCATTTAAAATTATTTATAGTAAGAAAAGGTCACCAATTTAATCATGTACATTAAGCAGGCAAGCAATTTGTAAACATTCAAAAGCGGCAGCATCCATGTTACAAACATCTTATAAGGGAAACAAAAATCAAGATTGTTTTTAAGGATTACCCACCCCTTCTTCTTTGCTCTCCAAAAATTCTGGAAGTGATGTTTAAAAATACTACAAACACCAAAGGAGATCTGCCAGCCTTAACAGTCCTTTCTTATAAAAAGAAAGAGTTCCAAAATTCTCAACACAACATTTTATTAGTGTGCTCTTTAATTATGATCTATATTGGTCACCAGGTTCGAGCTCTGTTTAAATCCCATTAGCAAAGGGAATGCTTGTATCTTGATTCAATGCTTCTTTAACTTCTGAGGGCAACGTATCAAAAAGATGATCTTCTACAATTAGTCCACTTTTCCTGAGAAGCCGACACTGACCCAAAGTGGCTGGTAGACGGTCTAAACAGTTCCCCTTCAGCTCCAAATTAGTTAGTTGCAACAGCTGACCAATTTTTTCTGGAATTGAGGTGATGCAATTTTGTCCCAAACTCAAAGTTCTCAACTTGGAGCACTTAAACAGCTGTTTTGGCAAAATATCCACTTTATTTCCTGTGATAAGCAAGTGCTGGAGATTTTGAAGCAACCCTATTTCCACAGGAATCACCGCAATGGAGTTGTAGCTTACATCTAAGCATCTGAGTTTCTGTAAACTGAATACTGCAACAGGTAAGGATTCGAGTTTATTATTGGAGAGATAAAGTGACTCCAAGTTTTTAACATGAGTAATGGAAGAAGGAATGTTAACTATTTTGTTGTGCCACAATTTCAGACAAGTTAGTCTTTTTAAATGTTGGAAGCTAATGACTTCTTCAATTGTGCGTATGTTATTTGACTTTAGATCTAGTTCCTGCAAGTTAGTGAGACTAAAAATGGCATGGGGAATACGTTCCAATTCACAGTTCTGCAGCTCTAATTCTCCTACATTCATCATCTTCTTAAGGCTATTCAGTACAAAAAGCTTGGTACCATCATTATGAATTACCAGCTTGGTTAAATGTGGTGCTACATCTGTGATATTAGATGGAATTTTGGTCAAATTGCTTTTCACGTAGAGAATCTTAAGGTGCCTTAACTCTCTAAGTGATTCAAGTCCTATCATTTTATTGTTTTCAGAATTCAAGTTGCCTACTAAATACAACTCTCGGAGATTTTTAAGCAAGTAGACCCAAGCTGGTATCTCTGCAACATCAGTAAATTTCACATGCAAGCATCTCAGGTGGTCACGAAGAAAACTGAAGGCTGTCTGCTCCACCTTTGCAGGGCAATGATAGAGATGTAGCTCTTGAAGGTTAGTCATCTGGGATATTTTAGCGGGGATTTTTGCTTCAGGAATCAGCTCGAGTTTTAACACATCTAAATCCGTCAGATCAAAAACCGCATCTGGGACTCCCGAGAGCATGAAAAGATGTAATTCTTGCTTATCCTGAGCATTGCGGGAAACGTGTTGCCTCAATTTTTCGAAAGTCCATTCGTGGTTCAAACTTATTTCCCTCAGTTTGTTTTCGCTGACCTCCGACAGGAATACACCAAACCTCTTGGAGTAAAGCTGATCATACTGGTCAACCATGTGTAAGAGAAAAGCAAAATCGTTCTTAACATCTGGAATATCGCTGAAACTGCTCTCTTCTCTAACTTTTTCAAAAGAGTACTCCTTCAGGGGTAACCGAAACAACCAGAAGAGAGTGTACAGACAGACAAAACCATAGACACAGATGAGAGAAATATAACTGATAAGCAACTTTTTTAACATGTAAGCCATATTGTGTGTGCATTCAAATTCTTGGTAGCCAGTCAGATGTTCCACTTTGGGCATGCAGATATGCTCAAAACTGATTTCATTGACAAAATTGGCTGTGTAGCAGAGAATAAATATGAACTTTACAGTTTTGATGACAGTCTGAACAACATAGAGCTTATAAATCAAATCACTGTCCTCCACGTGAGCCCGGAATTTTCGTACTTTTTCAAAGAGTGCTTTGGCTTGCTCTCCATCTTTTTTGTCCAAAATGGTCATACCTGGGACTTCAATAACTGGCTTTTCTGCTGAAAACTTGAAACCAGTCTTGTTGATCATGGGGGTACTAGCATTTGGGCTTCCTTCATCGCTACTAGTTGATACGTGCTTTGGCAGGGACTGGGCCCCAGTTAGTCTTTGTTTATTCTCCTCAGAGTCTTCACACGCCGTTTCAGACAATGCTTTTGTAGTCCAAGGGGATTCAAAGCATTTTCCTAAAATAGAGACAAAATGCTCGATTTTCGAGCAGGTTTTTGGGTATTTAAACCAAAAATTGCTACTGACCATTAAAATAATTGTGTGTATAAGAGCTAAGTAAGGAAAGTATTTCGAATACCAAGGAAGAGCCACATGATAACACATCTGGTTAATGAAAACATATTGCTGATAATCCAAGTTGGTCTTACGGCCCAGAAAATCTTTCTGCTCCTTCTTTACTTCCTGACTTGCAGCAGTTGAGGGTAATGGTGGATAGGCAGTTCTACGTACATCAGGCGTAGTGACAGGTGTGGTGTCAAGAGATACAGTCATGGTTGCCTGTTTGTCTTTGTCTTGAATAGCTGGTGTTTCGAATTCTGGCATATTGGCAGCTTTGGCACTTCCCAAGGGGCTGGGTTGCATTTTTGCACTTACAGCAGACTGTAACACAGGCAAACAAACCACCTGATCTTTGGTCAACTGCATGGTTCCAGCAAAAATAGCAACCATGAGCATTACAACTGCCAGATAATCCATAAATACATCCCACCATGGTTTCAGAATTCGGTAAGTTGGCTGTATGTCATTCAGAGATGCAACTTCTGCAAGGGTAAACATTCCTGTAACAAAACAAAAGTTCCTATTATTTGCTGCTGAGAGACACAGTAATAATTTATGCTTTTCTTTAGTTGCAATTTCTATTTTTTTTCTACTTGTTTTAATTTCAATTTTATCTATTCAATTTTAATAGCTACAATTAAAATATACATGGTGGGCAATAGCCATTATTAAATATAACATAAATATAAAGGTCTCTCAACCTGTATTGGTAAGAAATTAAGACTGTGACACTAAAACATGTTCCTTAAATGTATTTTAACATTTTAGTAGATGTTTTGATGATATAATCTTAATTTAACATTTTAGGACAGAAATGAAAGAAAATAATACAGAGTAAATGACCTTCAATGAGAATCAATCTAATAGTAATGGGTGGGCTACATAATAATAGTCTATGTTATAAATTATAGCCATTAATAGTATTATTACATCAGAGAAGAAGTCCATATAAAAGGGATAGTAAGCAGTACATATGTGATTTTATTTTTCCAACTTCATATATACTTATTCATTCCAATATGGATATATTGCTATATTCTCATTTCCAAAACACTAAACATTTCTTATGGCAAGGAAAAATCAATCTAATGTAATGGACAGGCAATGCTTCAGTGCTATTAAATAATTAGCAGATGTAAATCCTCCTGTTAATCTTTTCCCATAAAGTAGGCATTATACTCAAGGTTTTATGGTCTATATCCAATAATCTGCAGGCTGATTTTAGGATTAAGTGTCTCAAAACCAAAACAATCAAAGTTTGCTTTGAACTGCCAAAGAAATGATGTTTCTTTGGAATACTGGGAGGCCTAAAAGCAGGAAGGTATAATTAATGTAATTCAGCATATTTTTCAATTTGAGTTAAGCATATCTTTACTCTAGTCCACTAAAATAAAAGAGAATGAAAATGTTTTCATGATCATGAACTTGAGTGATATAACTGAGTCACCTGAGTAGTGCAAATGGGAGTGGAGCCTTCTTGGAACTGTTGAAAGGACTGTGTTGTAGACTGGAGATAGATAATGTCATATCCCTCCCCCTCTGTGGAGAGAGGGCCATTCAATTTTGCCATAGATGGCCTCTTTGACCCTTCTTTCAAATCAGCGGTCATCTCGGTCCAAAATGTGGACTTTGCTGTCTTCAAAAGAATGGTCACTCATTCAAAGACAGCAAAGTCCACAGTTTGGACAGAGATTACCACTGCAAAATCACACTGTAGATATATTAGATGTTCATTTAAAGGAGTTACAGTTAGTCCTCAGTTAACTACAAGGTAAATGGGGCCAGAATTTCCATTGCTAAGTGATGTAGTTATAAAGCACAACATTGCCTGAATACACTGCTTAGTGATGACAATCCCACACACCCTACTGCTGTTGTTAAGCAAGGATCCTGGTTTGTTAAGCAATTCCCAGGTTGCTGCAAGCAGGGATGCAGGCAGGTAAGGCATAGTGGTATCAGGAGTGGCTGCTCCTGGGTAGGGGAAGGTGTGTGAGTGTCCTCTGAGGCTCAGCAAGAGTATAGCCAGGGATGCCTGGTGCAGGGTGGGGGAGGATGCAAGTGCCTTACTGAAATAACTTACAACTTTTCCTGCGCGTTTCCCCATTGACTGTACTTCTGGAAAGCTGGCAGGAAACATCACAATGGTGATTATGTAGTCGCAGGACTTTGTAACTATAAGTGCAAGTCGATTGCCAAGTGCCTCGATCACAGTTACATAACTGCAGCCATGTTGTCATCGCCACAACTTCAAGGCCCAGTCATAACTTTGAATGGCTGCTGGGCGAAGACTACTTGTATTAAGAAACACTTAGAAAACAAACACACTACCTCAAGATTGGCATGTACTTAGCAAGCCAGTTTAGTCTGGTATATTAAATTCTGTATATATTGATAATAACCTGTACAGGCTGGGAAACATTTAGTATCTCAAAACTTTCTATGATTTTTGGCAGGGGTTATGCATAATCACCCCTCCAATGAAAGAATAATAACATGCATTTTGAGCATGATTAGGTTAAAACCTGGGTTTTTATTATGTTCAGAAAAGTTATCCTTGTAAGCAAAACATACTGCTTCAAAAAAATCCAGTAAAAGAAAACATCCAGGGAACACTATACTTAGTCAGCTAACGTAGTTATTCCAGTTAAAATAGATTTGTATCACATAAAGAACCTTCTAGCTGTTCTTGTATTTTCTAGGTCACCTTTTCACCTTCACTTATCCACAGTGCATTTAAAAGTAAGAATAATAGCTATATTCTTTTCCCAGAACCCTAAGAATTGTTAAGCTACAGGAACAGATGTAACAAAAATTTCATCATATCACCCCATTATCATTTCCTATGATAATACTGTATCTTCATCATTCCTCCATAAATCTCGGGATAATAACCCTGGTTTTGGTTCTTAACCACTCAAGCACCTGGCCTCTTGCTGGTAAGCAAGTGAGTTAAATATGGATTTGAACCCACGAATCTTTGCTCCTAGATTAAGCACACTCTGCACTTCTGCTTTAAAAAAGCCCAGTTTTAAAACAGAACTGCATCCCCATTTTGTATGAGACTAATTAAATACTTAACTGGTACCAACTTTATACAATATAGCTGAAAAAAACCCCAGGAGCTTTTATATTTAGAAACAAAAGTATGTTGGGATAATGAAACCACTAACTATTTCTAATGTTATTAGATTTTCTAACTGTTTCTAAAATGAAGAAGCTAAATTGTTCTGGGACTTTAGAATTTGAACAGGAAAGCACTTGCCACACAACACTCCAGATTTAACAATGGTTTATAAGAAAGATAAAAACATCTGGAGAGTGGATGTGACAATTCCCGCAGACAACAGAAGAGACAAGAAAGAACTGGAGAAAATCACAAAATATGAAGATCTGCAAATAGATGTAGAATGACTGTGACAAAATAAAGCAAAGATAGTACCAATAGTAATAGACACCTTGGGTGCAATCCCAAAACTTCAGGAGCACCACTCGAATAACACCAACATTGACAAAATCACCATCAGTCAACTGCAAAAGGCAGCTTTACTTGGAATAGTTTACATTCCGTTATGATACCTTTAGCTCCATTAAACATCTGCCTATCCCAGGTTTTGGGGAAGAACTCAATAGATGAATAAAAATGCCAAATCCAGTCTAAACATCTGGCTGACTTTATGATTAATCATAACAGTAATAATAATAAAAAGTTGATGCTCACAGTGTTACTGAATTGCTGTGACTAAACACAGAAATTATGAAACTATACTACCTTGGTTCATTTTACTTACAAACTCTAAAAACGTATTTCAAAAAGCTGCTCTCAATCACTTTTCACTGAAATATGGAACAAATTCATCAAAACTGCTCAAAGAATTATTGAAATCAATGTGTCTGAAAGCTCTTCAAAGTACAGGTAGTCCTTGAGTTACGCGTGTAACGAAGCCTGCCCATTCCACTCGTAACTCGAAAACTCATGTGAATCTCGTACCTCGAACGAGATCACTCCCTTGCTCGTTAAGACGCATGCAGCTTGTTAAATGAACATGAGGTATCTCAGGGTGGAGAAGGCCATGGAGGGCCTAGTGATGGAACAGGGCCACAAGGCCTCCCCGACCTACTAAGATACCTCATGCTTCCCCCTCCCTTCCTGCCACGCTGGACTCATTTTAAAAAAATCTGTCTCTCTGCTGTGGTTCCTGCTGCCACACAGATCTGAAGCCGGGGGACGCTTCCACATGCCTCCAGAAGCTGGATTGGGGCATTGGAGGGCCACAGAAGCATCTCCTGGCCTCAGATCTGGGTGGCAGCAGCCTGGAAAAGGCCTCTGGCACCCGGATGGGACCGCCGGAGGACTGTGGACCCCGGCCTCAGATCCAGGTGGCAGTGGCCTGGAAACGCCTCCGACGCCCTGATCCAGCCTCCAGAGGCACATAGAATGCACCAAAGCCCTGCGAACGCACCAAAGGCCTGGAGCAGCCAAGAAAGCAAAGGATCTTGATTGAAGGCCTGGTACCTAGGGAGACCCGGGGCAGGGGTGGGGAGGGAGGGAATAACCAGGGTGAATATTGCAGAGCCTCTGCGGTCGCTCGTAAGGGCAAACAACTGCTGTGGTACTACAATATTTGTAATTTTGGGACTTGCTCGTAAGCACTAGGGGTGTTTATCGCATAATTTTGAATGAGTGTTAAGTGAAGGCTCATAACTCGGGGATTACCTGTACTCATTTTATTACTACAGTATATCATTCTTATTTGCCCTATGAAAAGGAACAGTGCAGAGATTTCTCCTTGAATGACTGCCCCCCTATACAAGGAAAGACAAGTTTTTTGGTTTTTTTTCTAGGGGACCATATTCTTTCAAGAGTAATCTGGTGAGGCCACATAGTGGGTAGAGCATAAGTAAACACTACTTAAGCTCAGAGTAAAAATGAGTGGGAAAGCTTATTTTCCAACTCCTTTTTTCTTGCACAATATTTTTCTCTCTCTTCTAAACACCTTGCTGTAAAGAACACAATGCTTATCAAAGGTCTGAACAGTTTTCCTGCAGTGTTTTTAAAATTAGACCAAGGGCTCCAGATTAAATTTATCTCCAACTATTACAAAAACAAGCTGGACAGCTCCGGCTTTCAATCTTTGCTATTTTCAAGAATAAAATAAAGTACCAATTGCTACTAAAAATACATCTGACCTGTGGCTTTAGTCCTATTTGTCTGCAGTTCTAACAATAAAACCAGCAGAATATTACAAGAGAGAACCAGTTTATTTTGTGTGTTGATAACAAAGCTATGTAAATGTATTAGGAAAAATTCCAACATAATTCAGTTATATCAGAACTTGTAATGGGAACAGGGGAGGATAAATGAAAGAAAATATCTTTCTTAACTGAGACTTTGAAGTTCAAAGAAATTATGTGCAGATAAGAGAGTCAGGTCAGAACAAGAAGCGTCACATCACATCAACTAAGGTAATTCAACAAACTCATTTGTAGCCCTGGGTTACTT